GATATACACGGACGTAATTTACCGTGAAAGTCATCTGAAAGTTTTAATTATTTTCACCCAATCAGAATCGTTAAGAAAAGGTTGGCTTCAAATACTGGTAAAAGGATCTCTCGTGGACTGGTTGTGATAATTTGAATATCAGTGAAGGGAAATTTATCAATCCGCCGCAAAGCCCAACTTTGCCTGACTGGCACTGATTGCCTCTGTTCACTCGATTGTAAATAACGAGGTAAAGAATGGTCGTTATATTTTATTTTATTTATTGTCTTTTTATCTTAGTTTAGAAAGAAACTAGTAAGCTTTAAACGAGAGTAGAGATAAAAGAGACGAGGCAATGGCTGATCACTGTTTTACGACTAAACCAATTTTCTCCAATCCTCAAAAGATCCCGCTACCATCGAAAGATAATCTTTACAAGAATCCCTTGTTTACGGTAACGTTTTCATTTCAAACTAGTCTCGTTTTTGCGTCTTGTATCATTACGTTTTTTTTTTTCAAAAAAGCTCATTTTCAGCGTTGATTTAAACACCATTTTAGCCGGCGTAGGTTTGTAATAATCTGTCGGTTCTCATTGAAAGAGGAGAAGCCAAAAAAAAGTACTGTTCAGTTTGCTTTACAGTGTAGCTGGGACTATCTTATATATTTAGTCACAGTAAGGTCGCTTGTGGAGTGCACTAGAAAATCATTGATCGATATAATGAAACTTTCTCAGCAAACCATGATGATGTACCGAGGGTGGAATTCTGTCCCTCCACTGCAGAAATTTACACTTTCAGTGGCGTCATTAACCACGTCGAATAAACAAACCGCAATTAAGAATCTCCTTTAGTAAAAACGATAAATGCGTTCAGCATTCATCTTAATTGTCTTTCGCGAGTTCCGGTAGTGACATTTCATACGCGGCCGTTTGATAAGCGATCAGGGTTTAATGATTTAACTCTTATTAGTTTGGGTTTTGTTCCGACGAATGTTTGTTCATCTCATTTGCAAAAGAACCTGTTTTATTTTAGCTGTTTACTTACAGTCGTCCTTAAGTAGACATGTTGCCATGGTAACTTAGAAACCAACCTGATTCGCGTGCAACGATCCCGCTGTTATTGTTTGTCTCATGTCGGCTGATTAAAAAATATAATTTTTGGATTCTATGAAATTTTACACTAACATACGGGGTCAGCCTACAGCAGGTAATTTTTCGGGGATATTCCAAGTTCAAAATGTAATAATTTTTAGATATGATCTGCCTTCTTCGTCTCAGAGAAATTTCAGACTAATCAAGCTTATGAATTGTTCATAAAATTGCGAACATCAATTAAGAAGATGTCTGGTATAGAAAAGAAGATCTAAGATGGTGACGTGGG